CCCTCTCCCTTTCCCTCATTCTTTCTCTTTCCTTGCTCTCTTTGTTGCTGTCCTTGCGCCCCTCCCCTTTGTCCCCCTTGTTTTGCTCTTTCCTTCTCTTTCTGTGCCTTTCTTCCCTCCCTGTGTCTCTGACAGTAGCCAGCATGGCAAAAGCCACACCGAACTCCCCCCACAACCCATCCAAGCTGATCCCTGCTCTCTACCCCTTGTTCCCAGGGGCGAGCCCCCTCCCACAGCCCATTCTGCCAGAGCAGCTAGCAAAAGGAGGATGCTAAGCTCTCTAGCTTTTGGCACACAGACACTAGGTGATGTCATCACTTTCTCTGCCAGCTGATTGGCTGTCTGCCAGGACCTCCATCTGTCTGGGAGCCATGGAAATCGTTCGTCTCTGTTCTGGACTTTTTCTCTCTTTCCTTTTATCTCTCTGATTCTGTTTTCTCATGTCTTTTGCTCTCCTCTTGTAGCACATCTGTGGCCACTTAGGACTTCACCTTGCTCCACTCTTCGGCCACTTGGAATGTCATGCAGCTGCAAAGACAAAGCTTCATTCTTCCCATTCCAAAAACCCAGGATCTGACTGCTTGAGCTAAAGAAGAATCCACATTAGCTCCATAACGGTACAGGGTCTGTGTTGCAGCATTCAGGACAGTCCTGTGTGAGCAGAGAGCAGTGGTGCAAGTCCATCCAGTCAGGGCAATACAGTTTACAGGCTGTCCCCACCCACCACTTGTGTGCTAAATTATGTTAGCTGAATGATCTGAAATTCCTCCTGGACTCATCACTTGCTGCCTGTTTGTAATAACTAAGCCACAGACCCAGGGTCCTTGGAAGCAGAAATCCTGAGAGATACCAATGAGAGTGAATATAATTCACCCTCTCACTCAACAAGCTGAGCTTAAAGGATGATACACCCAGGTCCCCAGCTCGTGGAAATAAATATTACATGTGGGGATACTCAGGCATGAAAAGATGAGGGAAGAAGAAGAAGGAGGGAAAGGCATGAAAGTAGACCTTAAAAAGGTTTGTAGAAGGAAGGGAAGATATATGTTCAGAAAGAGGAAAGGCAAGTGGAAGAAAAAAGAGTGAAATTGCAACAGGAAAATAGAGAAATGGTGACAGACACATGCTTCTACAGGGATATGTTTTAGGCAGCACTGTACCTAGACTCCTGGTGGCCCTGGGTGAACTTTTAGTTTTGGGCCCTCCTTTGCTAGCAATAATGATGATAATAATCGGACAATGAAAAAAAAAAACCATTTTCAGGCCCCCTTTCTGTCTGGGCCTCGAGTAGCCACCTGGTTCACCCATGCCTGTGTCTGGCCCTGGTTTTAGACCAGTAATCAGCAGGGTAATCATCTCTGAGTGTAATGCAGGTAGTTTAATTAGAACTCAGATCCCTGATGTTTCTCTTTACCTGAGACCAGGCAAAGTCTGGGACATTGTTGCAACCACTGCTCTAAGCTTCATCTATGTTTTTAAATCCAGAATTAGGACAGAATGGTATATTGGTGGGTTGCAGGAAGGCTGTTCCTTCAGCCGGGTGAGAATGACAGTTGGGATCTCTATGCATTTTGGAGTTTTTACATAACATTTAAATTGCAGTCAGGAAAATTCAGGTGAGTACTTTGCAGTCCTCCAACATATTGGAGACTAATAGGCAGGCAGTGAGAGAGGCACATGGAGGGGATGGGTAAGAGCAGGCAGCTCAGCAAGGAGAGCTGAGCAGTGAGAGGGCCAGAGGGAGGGAAAGGCAGGGAGGAAAGAAGGCCTGTACTGGAGGGCAGCATGGAACAGGACACAAGGGTCTAACACAGGCACTGGGAACCCGGCCCGGTGCTGGACTGTCCAGAGGGAGCGGGAGGAGCTGGCTCCCTCTGGATCCTAATAAACTCTGGAATGAGGGTGTGGGCCTCTTCGGCTCGCTCCCCGCTCATTCCATCCGCATTATGACACCAAGTCCTATTCTTTGGCTCCACTTTTCTTCAAAATTGTATTTTGAAGACAACTAACAGTGGAACGTTTTCTGGGAGTGGCTGCCTATGGCTTACACTCTGGCCAAACGGGGGACCAGCCAAAGCGGGAAGAGACGTCTGCAGCTGAAGGGAGCAGAGGCAGTGGACAGCACTCAGTGACAGGGATCCCATCCCTTTCCTTGCTAGCCCAGCAAGTAAGTTTTTGTTGTTGTTGTTGTTGGTTTGATTTGGTTTGTTTGTTTGGGGGTTTTTTGGGCGGGGGGGGCGGGGTGTTATGATGAAGAACTTTTCTCTTGGCTCCTGTTAATAAAATGACAGTACAGGCAAGAAAAAGAGAAAGGTTAGATGGCTGGTTAGAAGGAGAGAGAGAGAGAAGTGGGAGGGAAAGAAAGAGAGGAAAGGAGGATGGAGGTTAAAGAAAGCAGGTAAACAGAGTGCTCTGTCCACTCCAAAGTGCCTGGGCAGCAGCTGAAGATGTGAGAAGGCAGAGATAGTGGGAGATAGCTGGAGGGAGGGAGGATGAGAAGGCACACGTTTGAGGTGGTCAGTGGGTGAGAAGAATGTCCATGCCACCGGGGATAGACCTCCCCATGGCTTGTGTTTGACTTTCATTGAATTTCTCTTTCTTCTGCTTTGCAGTGATGATGACCCTGGGAGCCCGTGCGCTGCTGTGCATCATAGCTCTTTCTGTGCCCCCAGGTGGTGAGTGTCCCTCCAACCCCCCTGGCCCCGGAAGTGACTTCAGGGCTCTTTCCCCTTTCCTTGCTCCTCGGAAATTCACCAGGGACCACTGCCCGCACACTCCTCCTCTTGCGTGGGACAAGAGAAGACCCACACCCTCTGAAGGAGAGTGAAGGGGAGGAAAAGGGAAGAGTGCAGAAGAGGAGAGGGAAGGGAGGAGGGATTGTGAGGCAGTGGAGCCTGGAAAGCAGTGAGCAGGGCCAGTGCTCTCCCTTTCCTCATAAGGTCCAAGGAGTAAGCAGTGGGGAGATACCAGGAGGCAAGATAGGGCCACTTTGCCAAGTAGCTACCACTCTGCCCACCAGGTGGGCTGCACAGAAATTGGCAGTGGCCCGCAGAGAGGAATCAGTGGAGAGCCCCTCTTGATAACATGGGCTCAGTTTTCCTCTCATATAGACAGGTGCCCCTTGGCAGGGACGGATTAAGAATTCTTGGGGCCCTGAGCCCAAGAAGTATGGGGCCCAAAGAAGATTGCTTTGTTTACCACCCACATTAGAAAATAGCCAGTACGAAGCACCCCCTGCAGGACTGGGCTGGCATTGCCCCCCTCTCTGTATGGCAATGATGGCACAAATCATTCAGCAGCCAACAGACTGAGCTGCATCTGTAGAAAAACAGCAGTGGTGGGAGCTCCACCAGTGGGGTCTTCTGCTGCAGGAGATCATGGGCCTCGGCCCTCTAGGACTGTACATAAATCCATCCCTGCCCCTTGGAGTCCAGGGCCAGTGTTTAGGGAGGGGATCAGCTGCAATATGTGCTTTGTGGTGAGCACGCTGCATCCTCCATGGGAGTTGACAGGGGCAGCAGAGACATTTGGTAACCAGTGCCTGCCAGGTGCTGCCTATGGTAGTGTCTTGGATCTAGTCTGCAGAGCATCTCTAGATGGTGCATGGAGCTTGTTCTCACAACAGTGACATGCCTGCCATTCTTCAGCCTCCAAAGCTTCTTCCTCATCATTCCCAATTCCCAGCTGCTGAGTTCCCAGTTTTATTGGTCAATTAAGCCTAGTTTTTCTGCCCCCTTTTCTGGTGACTTTGTATCTGTGCTGGCTCAAATATTCTGTGTGGTAAATTCAGGGAGGATTAACATCTGCAGAGGAAACCAAATTTGTAGAAGGCAGCCACAAAGAGCAGAGTAAACTGGTGAGACTGGAGCAGAGACTGAGGGACAATTCCATTATAAAGGAGGGAGATGCATCTAGGGCGGAGAAAACCAGGGACTGGGTATGGAAGGGGAGGCGGGGGGAAGACCATCAGCTGCATCCACATCTATTACTTTCTGGTCTCCTCTCCTCACTCATCATGAGTGCCCAGCCTGTGCTGAGAGGGTGGCCTTCAGAGGAGAACTTCCCTATTACATTTGTGGATCTTGGATGCATCTCAGTCTTGTTCCTATTCCAAATAGTGCTTTGTCCCATAAGCAGGCACCGTAGAAGACACAAAGTTTATGGCCATGCTTTGCTAAAGGGCTAGTTGGAGATCTAGAGAATTCAAGTAGGAGCCTTCTGGAACTGGGAACAGATTTGACAATGCACTCCTAACATTTTGTTAGCCTTGTGCATCCCAAACCAAAGAGATTTAAATAGCCTAATACAAAGTCCCTGCCCTTCTCAGTTGCTCAGGGGTCTCAGTGACCTTACATCCAGACCAGATGTCCTTAGAGCCAGGGCATCAGACTTATTGGGTCCTGTGGACTATATTCCGACTGTGGAGCTTCTTCTGAATCAGACCTAGATAGCAGGGCTTCTTGCAGGCTGGAGGACCCATGGACAGTAATCCCTGAAGCTGCCAGAGCTATTGTTACGAGGCAGCTCCAGAACCAGAAAGTTAACATTGCTGCCATTCCCCCCCGACCCTTTCCTCTAGTGCTGATTTTGGGGTGACTAAAATCTCCATTTTCAGCAAAGCGTAAGTGGGGTGGGGAGGGAGTCAAGTGACTCCCTGGGTTCTGGAGCTGTGCTGGAACAGCAGGGATTAACACCACCCTTACAGGGGCCCTGGCACCCATGGCAACAAGCTCCCCAGCCAAATGTGGCCCATGGAGGTGAATGGTTCTGCCTTTTAGAAGCCCGGTGGGCTGGATGACCCACCTCTCCAGGCCAGATGTTTGACACCCCTTCCTTAGGGTCTTTTGGAAGAACAGGTGAGAAAAGCCCTGAATTCTTAATGAAAAATAAGCAGAATTGAAAAAAAACAACAAAAAGCATAAAAACATTTAGAGCTTCAGGTCTTCCTTTCATATCACAAAGAAAGCAGAAAGGCTACATCCCCAGTTTTTCCATGGACACAGGGACAGACTAGGCAATGAAGGACCTGGAATATCTGGACTCTGTACAGGGTCTTTACATGTGGGGAGAAGGGGGAGCTTTAATTGAAGCGGCTTTCAGGAGCTGCTCTTGTGTATTCAGTGTCCCATGCTTCAAAAGGGACAGTGGGGGTGCTTTAACTAAATTTTGTTTGATGAGCTTTAGTTAAAGCACTCCTGCTGCAATTTTGAAGCGCAGGGACGCTGAATACATGAGATGCCAAGGCTGCTGGAGCGTTCTAATTAGCATGCTTCAGACAAGTTGATTTATCAAGTCTGCAGCATGCATCAGAGGTGTCAGGCACATGTGTAGGTGCCCTGCAATGCAGTTGAGTAGAGCTGTGGCCAGGGTTCAAGTGTTTCCTTGCAAGATACAAATAACTGCTATTGCATTGGGACTTAAAGAGGGTTTTACAGACTTAGTTCTGTAGTCTTCACACATGCAAAGCCCCCGGTTGTTAGCTAGAGGCAGGCCAGACAGGCCAAGGGCAAAGACAGGATCATCAGGGTATCCTCTACAGTGGGCTATTCCAACTCTTCCCAGCCTTTTCCTGCCAACTGTGTCCTTTCCCCAGCACAGTCATGCAGACACGTTCCCCTTCCTATGCTAAGCAGAAAATCTCTTCCCATTTCTGACTGCCTGAGGCAGTACTAATCTCACCCTTTCCAGTCTGAAAAGCAACCAGGGTAACTCCATTTCAGTTCCATCTCTGTGTCACTGGACTGCACAGTCAGCCTCCATCATTCTCACTATGCAATATACCAAGGGAGGGGGTAAGTGGGAGCGTGGGAGTCTCTACACAGAAGGAAAGGCTAGCCACCTGCAGACTGCACTTGCCTGAACAGCTAATGGCTTGTTCTGTGGCTTTGGGAAGTCACATCCTCTATCTATACCTTACTGCCTCTTCTGTAGCTTGATCCTGACCTGCCTAAGAGAGGGCTGTGCCATGCAATTTGTTACTGTTTGTAAAATGCAACCAAGTCCTCAGATGGGTCCTGGAGAAATTCAGAATCTGTGAACAAACCTGTGACCACTAAGGAGTGTATGGCTTCTCCTCAAGAGTGCCTGTCAGGGGCAGTTTGCACTGTACTGATAGCAGTGGCCCCAGCTAGGGCAACCCCACACAAGTCCCACCTGCAATTCAGCTGGAGAAGATGTGCTGGGACATCCCTCTGCAGCCACTCACAAGCCCTTGATGTCCAGTGTTTGAGTGGCCACTGGAGATGCCTCCTGGAGCAGCCTCACCACTGTATTTCCAGGTTTGGAGCAAGCCACTATGCCCGTGTGGCTCAGGAGTGCTTGCCAGTGTTCCTCCAGGCCACACTGCCACCT